TCTTTTGAGCGTTGGAAGTCCTCCACTTTCATTAGTTTGTTGTGATGCTTGATCAGGTCCCTAAGCTCTTAAGAAGCTGTGAGATTCAGGGCTGAACAGCTGAATGAAGAGGTATTAGGCCTTGTGTCTATTAAGTGGAGCACTAGAAATATAACACTATTCCTAGACGGTACTTAACTCCAGATAAACCAGAACATTTGGTCCCTCATGCAAATCTAATTATGAGCCTTAGTTTACCTTTTGCTCCTTCTTTCATCAGCATTTCCTCAGCATCCCGGAGCATCACAATGCACGAATCAGCATTTTAAAGCCCAATTAGTGTGAAATCAATGTTTCCAAAACAGCAGGCAGAGTTTCCATCCTCTCACCGAAGGTTTTAGAACCTATGTTGAAAAATGTGCAGAGGCGGCTGGTTAAATCTGGTTTTATGCCACTGGGACACAGGTACAGGGATGGAAGGAAGAGAATCTGAACACTTTTTCTCCATAATACGCTGACAGCCCCAGGGGTTAGCCATGTCTGTCCTTCTCTACAGCCTCTCAAGAGACTCCTTGCATGTCTTCCTCTCCCTAGACTTGGTCTTTTGTCTTGTAGTATGCAGCCTTGTCATTTCTGCAGAAGAGAAAGACAAAACCTTGCTGGGTTCTGAGATTTAATCTAGGCTTTCTTCACTATACAGTGGCTTTTTTTGCCTAATTATCCACAGTGCTGGAGGAGATACTGTTATTAACTTTTAGAAAAACAATTTTTCCTGCTCACTTCCCATTTGACTAATTTAAACAGTGCATGTCAGGAAATGAAGGTCACCGCTGAGGGTGCAGCAGTTAATCGCTTCTGTCTGACACACTTCAGCAGATCTTCTCTTGCTACAGTAACATGTACGTCCTGTTTGTCTTCGATTAGCAGCATCCGGCTCCTCGGCAGGAAAATGACAAACAGTGACGCAAACAGCAGCCACTTTTAAGACATGTACAGATGTTACAAGGAACACAAAGAAGTGCATTGACAGTGTTGGTGGTTTTTTAACTCAAGTACCTAAAATATTGTCCCAGAAACTGTTTGTGTGTGCTTGATAACATATGGACCTGAGTTGTTGTTTGTTGGTCAAGATACTGATTTGTTCCCCCTGCTTAAAGACAGTATTACACCTGAACTAGTTAGTATGTTTTGTTGGCCTACAACATCTAAAAAGGGTTGCAGACACAGTTCAGAGTCCTGATACACTTTGCAAATATCAATATCTTTTATTAGTGATTAAACTGCAGATCATTTTCTAGATTAGAATTTGGTTAATAAATGTAAAAACCTATCACAATATAATTTAAACTAAAGTAATGTCGTCAAATGTCTTATTTTTCTTAACCAGCCTTTTAAAAATTCAAAGATATTCAGTCCAAACTAGGAAATCTTGTCTTTTTTTTTTTTTGACAATAATAGTTAGTGTCATAAGGCTGCTGCTGTGACATTCAATCCATCAAGTATTTATACCACACCTCTGCAAGTGTGAATAGCATGGCCATCATTAGCTCTACTTCCTTTGTGACCCCCCTCATACACCCAGACCCTCTCAAAATTGACTCTAGGTTGACATTTTGCTTACATACTCCATGGACAAAAAATCAACGCTTTCCTCAGAACTTTTGTGCCTCTTTTCTTGCTCTTTCTCCCTCCTATAGCCACTTGCTCCAGGGGAAAGGTCTGCATGAAGGGGTCTGTGAGGAGTGGAGCCCAGTTAAAGGGCAGTTAGTGAGAAGAGAGGCTGTGTGAATGGCATCTCGGGTTGCTGTGCTGAAAGCAAAGAGCCATTAGTGTTGGGTTTCTGTGAAAGTCCACAGAGCGGCTGCTTCAAGCACTCTTGATGGAATATTTATTGAAGAAAAAGTGGCAGTGTCCAGCGCGGAGAAATGACAAATGGCGGCCACATGTACAAGCCACCACTTCATCTCAAACAGAGGAAAGTCGTTCACAGAGTTGACTTTATTTATGACCTTTATCTGTGCTTGTCCGAGGCCATGACTTTGTTAAACTGACCACAAGATGTACTACCAAATCACTTGTGGTTGCACTGAGAGGGAAAACATCACCACACGTCCCTGCAGAGAGTGGAGGAAATGTGAACTGGTGGACCATTGTTTTCCTGTACAAGGCCGTCTCGGAGGAGGGTGGGATGGTAAATGCGAGCGATGGAAGGCTGGCACAAGAAAAGAGCCTTTTACAAAACAATCCCACAATGCCATTCTGTGCTTGCATCCATGACAAAGAGCGCTCTATAGCCCACATTGGACAGCCTCATTCGCCTCTCTGACCCTGATGCACTTGCTCCCTTCTGGGCTTTTGTATAAGGTGACTTGTATTACACAATTATCTATTTTTGTTGAGTTTACTCAGCTGTTAGACACTCGTGCTACTATTTTAGTCGGGTAGTGTGTCATGGAGCAACAGTGTGCACTTAGTGTTTAATTACAGTTAGAACAGTACATTAAGAGATAGCATTGTACAGGTTCCTGTTTAGCTAGAAATGAGATTTAGACTTTAATGTTTATCTACATTAGTGTACATTTGCAAATATAAGATCAAGGTTTTGCCAGATACTCTTGGTGTTCTCAGGCATTAAAATAATAACTAAGTAGTTTTCAATTAAATAAAGAAAGCACAATAAATTGCCGCTAAGATTTCCTCCTCAGTCAAACCAACTCTTCTCATCTTGGGGAAAGTTATTCTTTTTGCTTCCTCTGGTTTGGGTTTTTGCAAACTTCATGAACGAGTCACACGTGAGGACTTGAATCTTTTCTCTATGAAAGCGCAGCATTTGACAGCGATAGATGCACATCAACCTGGCCGATCCCCAAAATGCATTTCAGTTGTGTTGTAATTGTCACATTGAACTCTTATGGTACATAACAATCAGCGCAATTAAAGCTGTTAAGGTTTGTATCAAGACTTCCTCGTCATTCAAACCACAAGGGTTTGTGGGTGATGAACCGCTGGCAATATCTGGTTGGTTTGTTTTCGTTGCCAAGCGACACACCCTCAAGAGGAAGTTGAACTGAGGCCCTTGTATGACCTCAACAGATCTGTGAATCATACAGTAACCAGGGAACATTTTGTGCCGTAAAAGACACAACAATTTGGTATATTTTTGAAAGCTACACTTTGATTATGTTCTTCTCCGGCCAATCTTTACAGAATGTGGGTCTGTTCCTGTCAGCTGTTAGCCTTGAGCAGAGGGAGAGTATTATTCTTAGATTACATAATGATAGCTGTGCTACATATTGTGCAGAAGATATTGCATTCACCCCCCTCCCCCAGTTGGGAATAGTTCTGGGTTATGACATTACATACTGTACATCAGGACGCCTAATATGGGCTGCGTGGGGTAACAGCGTCACGAAGCAGGAGATTGATGGGGATGCAGAACATGAATATAAACAGCTGTTTGAAGCTGTTTAACTCAACATCTGTCCTCCTCAGAAAGAGGACAGCTGACATACAGAGCTGCAATCTTATAAAGGGGGGAGCATACACGTTGATGCCAACCCCCACTCTTATTCACCCATTTCTTACTATCTGTCGTCATCTCTTACACTGGAAAGGAACTGCACAAAGAAATGCATGACCCAATTTGACATCTAGCTGACTTTCTCTGCCGCCTCTGCTCAGTGTCTCCCTGTATTACACAGTGATAACAGTCCTGTAGGGATGAGGGTGCAGTGCTTTAGTGTCTGCAGGGTGTCAGGCGGTGAGGCTTGTGTGAGACATGAGCTGGTAAATCTAGATGACTTATTCCCCCTCCATGTTGGAATGTCGTCAGCAGTGTAAAAGGTGGAATAATACACGTAAGAGAGGCTTCATATACAGTATAGGGTTGAACAAGGTGATGTAGTGCATGATTTGCTCACACACTTGTCTTCATCAGTCAAGCAGTTTGCCCTAAAGGAGGAATCATTTGCATATGCTGAAACTCTTTGGTGTGACAATTTCAGATGAAAGATTATTCTGAATTGAGTATCTTTCAGTTCTGGACTTTCCATCAGATAAAACGAGCAGACTTAACAGGAAAAGTAATCATTCCTTGCAGCCCACATCTCGCATATAAGAGTTTAATTTCCCCCTCCGATTTCACTGAACAGAGGGGCGAGTGTTCAGTCATTTATTCAAGGGAGTCTTTTTTTGTTTGTTTGGTGTATTTTTGGTAGAAATGTATAGGGATGGAGGTCAAATAAATGGTGAGATTTTGCCATACTGTTTACACAGTGATGGCTCTAATTTCTTTGGATGATTTGGCCTCTATAAGCTGGACTGCTTTATGGCACTACTAGATTTACTACATTTCTCGATCTGTTATACTATTAAGTAGTAATGTATGACTCCAACTAACAATCATTTCCATCCTTACTCAGTCTCACTAGATTAATTGTAGTCAATTAAATGTCAAATAATGACCAAATATGTTTAAAAATTGTACAAAATGTAAAAATGAAAGCAGTTATTTCTGTAAGAACAGTTTTGCTTTTATTTAAAAGAGGATTTGTAATTCCGACTCTCACTTTTCTGTAGTTTGACAGATCATTTTATCGCTACCACCAGTTATAAAACACTGTCAGTGTGGAGGAGCAGAAGCCTGAAACACTGTGGATCACTGTTGACTGATACCTTTGTTTGATGACGCATATGTTTATGCTTTTCATAAATCAAAACAGGACAGACACATCGGATCAGAAACAAATCTGGTGGTGAAACGTGATTTTTACCTGAGGGATTTTATGCAAAGCAACACATTTGCTGCTGATATGACATCATTTGCATCGCTTGTCATGATATTTTAGTGTTTAGCTGTCGACGCTTCAGGCAGCTTTCATAGTTGATGTGCTCTCAGGCCCTTGTGTAATATGGGAATAATAATAAGCGGCATTTAAGTTTGTCACACTATTTATTTATTTGCCAATGCTGATGTAAGATTTTGATCTCATCCTTTTCTTTCTGTGTTTTCTGTCGGGCAGCTTTTTGACCGAGTGCGTGAGGTCAACCCTGACTTCCACCAGAAGATCATCCCCATCAGCAGCGAGCTGACGCAGCCAGGCCTGGCCATCAGCCCCGAGGACGTGGAGAGGCTCTCCGCCTGCATCAACGTGGTCTTCCACTGCGCCGCCACCATCCGCTTCGACGAGCCGCTCAAGTGAGGACCACACCTCCAGATTTAATGCATCAACACAAATCATCACATTCACCATCACTCCTTCATACAAACACACAAACATACCCTGTGTCCCATCACTGATTCTACTTCTAATCTCAGGGGTGTCAAACTCATTTAAGTGCAGGGGCCACATACAGCCAAATGTGATCTCAAGTGGTCTGGACCAGTAAAATCATTGCGTAATAACCTATTAATAACGACAAGTCTAAATTGTTCCCTTTGTTTTAGGGCAAAAAGGTACATTCTGAAAAGCTTTTATATATTTAATTATCTATATTTTTTACAAAACATTATGAAAAACCTAAAATGTCCTATAGTGCAATTTCAAAAAAGAATGCCTCAATTTATCATTTAGACATGTGCATTGCACCTTAGAGATCACAGTGTATCTGAAAAGGCTACAAACATTTAGTCACTGGTATCTGGAACTGAACCATATAGTCTTTTATTTTATTTATCAAAACATCTTGTCAAGATCTAGAAATATATTTAAAATTAATTTCCACATCTTTCAAGTAATCCTGACCACCTCACCATAAAAACTACAGTATGAACTATTAAGGAAGAAGGTTAAGTTATCCCCCTGTCTTGTAAATGTATAACATTTATACAAAATGAACATTTCAGTCAATATCTTTTCTGTCATTTTTACACTTTGCAAAGTCATCCCGCGAGCCGTATGTTTGACCCCCCTGATTTATCTGAACCAAATCATTTACCGACAAACATTTGCAACATCCTTATTGTTGGGTAACGGGCACTTCCTGTTCCTGTCAAGAGACATGGCTCCTCCAGAGAATCTGCAGCTCACTGAACAGGCTGCACTGTTGCTCAATGTAAATCAAAGAGGAAATAGGGATGAGTATGTGGAGAAATCAACCGTAAAAACATGAAGTCACCTACAGTTCAGAGAGAGATCTGTCAAACAGTAAATGGTTTCTTCTTTTTTGAGAGGGCAACACTGTGCAAGAAAAGTGTGATAAACCCAGAATATATTGAATTTAGACGATAAGAATGAGACACGTAGGATGTAGTGACAATTCTGTGATACTAATAGGTGTGATGGCAGATTATTTTTAGATACAAACCTGTAGTTTGTGAAAAGAACTTCAACTTGTTCATTCTAATCTATACACGGGGTGAACCCAGTGATGACTTCCCACCCGGTACATGTAGTGGACGGTGTGTCGTCACTCTGCTGCTGCCTCAGGCTCCTGCGCTGTGATTGGATCCTGGTCAGGACAGTGCATTACTGCATATGTAATGTTGGCCTAGTTATATCCTTTCCTTCTGTGGATGATGCGATGATGATACAGCTGTTTGGTCCAGTAAGTTTGTGTCATGTAACCAGCGCTGCTCCATCCTACTGCCCTCAGGGTTTCATTCTGTTAAGACCATCTCTGACCAAAACCTCTAGTTTAAACAAATTGAAACTAACAAGTTGTTCATTCAAATGAAGCCAAGCAGCCTGATCCAAAACTCACTTGTAGAAATGGTCTTGTTCATAATTCATAATGCATTTGACCAAGTCTGGGAAATATTTTCCATCTATGGTTTTGAAATCAAAATGCATGCATTATCATACATTGGCAAATTAAATCGCAGGTAGATAGCTCATTGTAGGGGATGAATAGCAAGTAAAACATTTAAAATGTCCCTAGCATTTATCCCTAGCATTTACCTCAAATTCACCTTGTAAACTACCTCAATATTATAGAATAATTTCTATCCAGCTATTTCCAAATAAGCAGGTAATAAGTAGCTGGTACTTTCTTTTATACATTTAAGGGAAAGCTAAACAAAGTTAATTGAAGAAGACTTTGCCTTTTATTCCGCTCATGAACTTTCAAAAAATCCCAAAAAGTGGAAGGTGGATGTTGGACTCAATACATAATTACTGCCTGTGAAAGATGATGATAATAATAATATATTTGTATCAATGGAGCACTTTTCGAGATGCTTTACATAAAGTCTAAGTATCTCCGATAACTAAAAACACACTTAAAAGTCACCTATTATGCAAAATCCTCTTTTTCATGTCTTTTATACATAAACACTAACCCTCTGTGTAAAGAGATTCTGAAAGTTTCAGAAAAAAAGATCCGCTCACTTTTTGTCCTGATCCATTTATATCAAAAACTGTCTGAAAATGAGCTGATCAGATTTTGGCAACTTTATGATGTCATGACGATTTTTTTGGCTTGTGTAACCATTAGCCAATAACCAACCAAGGTAACCCCCCCCCCCCCCCCCCCCCCCCCCCCCCCCCCCACCTTATCACCTGAATCTCCTCCTAGAGCACCATTGTGTTCTTTTTAACCAAATATCTCTCAGAGGGGCGTGGGGAGTGGCTCCTTATTTTCATCTAAAGTAACAGACAGGGAATCAGCACTTTTGAAACAGGGCTGAAACAGAGGGGATTATGGGATGCTACAATGATCTGTTTGGTATTTGGAGCCAAACACTTCAGAGACATGTTTTGTATATATCTGAGACTTATAATATATTGATGAAAATCAGTATAATAGGGGACCTTTAAGTCCCAGGGTAGCACAGGACATTACATATAAAGCTATACTCGGTTCTGCCCTCAGCGCTTGTTGCTCAACCTGTTGTCATCAAAGCTACAATTAAGTTCATCAGGTTTTATAATTGTAACAACTGACAACAACACAAATAGGAAACACCCACAAACACAAGCTATTCATGCTCTCCGTGTGTGTTTGGAGGCAGGACACACATTAGGATGGAGTCAGTGCTCGGTGAGGGTGGAGCTGCTGCACTGCTCCCTCACAGCTTTATATTGATCTGCTTCCACTTTCTGTCTCATCTCTTCCTCTTCAGCTTCAACCTTCCCTCTGAGTGGCCTTCACCCTTTTTTGTTTTTTGACCCCTTTTTATCTAGCTTTCACTCCCATTTCTCTCTCATCCTTTCCATCTTAGTCATCTCTCAGAGTCATTACTCATGTGCCAGGGTGTGTTATCAGACTCCTCTGATAAAGGTTGCAGACTCCAGACTTTATCCGTGTTTAAAGGATGATTCCTGTTTCTCAGAACGTGGATGTTATTTTGCTAGCTGTGGCCATCATTTATTTCTGTTTATAATACCATTGTACTCACCAAGAGTCGGAAACACAACCTACTTTTGAAGAAAGGTCAGACCTAATTATCAAAAGTTAGTCTGAGTCTTACATCATGCCATCTTCTCTGAAGCCATGTCCGTCACCCAGAAACGTGAGAATGTTAAATATATGACCATCTTATGCAAACTAAAGTAAATATAGTTAAATAAACCTCTTATTTAGCCAGATTTATTGGGAAAATTAGGAATTATTGCAGAGAAGTACTGATGGAAATATGATACTATAATGTATAATTGTAGGCCATAACGTCCCTACGCTTTCATGCTTTGGAGAATATAATCATTCAAATAGGTATTAAGTAATCTTCAATGTGGTATTTAAAAAAGCAGATTTATCTTGGTGACTCATACAGGAACCATGACTAATCCACTTGTATATTTTAAGATTGACATTTTGATTATGCTTTATTGGCCTGAAGTGGAAAAACCCTCCTGTTTATTTCAAGAATATTTCAAAGATGGGACATTTCTGAATAAAACCAAGGCTTGTAAAGTAGCAGCACGTACTTTTTTGTAAAATATTTCCTAGCTTTTATTTTACAACCTGTTGCAGTAATGTTCCCAGATCTCAGTATTTGATCTGAGCACTATATGGAATGATGGCAAAAACTACCAAAATAAGTGCAAAGATGTATCAAGTCATATTTATACTTTTGAAGTGATGAGGTAGTGAATCAGACACAGCGGTGCATTCATCACTTCCTGTCTGTGTGACATCCATCATCAAGTCTCAGAAGGTGGTGGGAGGAGGACACGCCCACACACACAGAGCTGCTCTAATAACCGACACCACCCTCCATATGAATGTCAACACTTCCCTTTTTTATTTATCTGTACTGTCGCTGACGAGATGGCACCACCTGACCACATCTGATTCATGCTGGTGGACTCTCCGCCCCCCCCCCCCCCCCACACTCTCTCCATCCTCACTCTTCCTGTCGCACCACCCACACAGCCAGAGGAGCACTCTATCTCACAGCGTCTGTTTCAACTGACCCTCGGTTTTCTTACTGTCGCCTTGGGGGAGAATTTAGTCTGAACGCTGGATCTGTTGCTGTGTGTTGCCATCAGAGTGTTAAACATGCAAGAGTCTGGATAAAATCAGAAATAGAAACTATTTTTTTAGGAAATAATTGTGCTCCTTTAATCAGAATTGTTGTCAGGACAATAGCTGGCTAAATGTGCTTCTTCTTATCCACTAAACTGTTTATTTAACTGTTGCATAAACAACTATCAGTAGATCAACAGATAGTAGATTACTGTATAGTTAATAGATGTGTACAGGTATATACTAGCTATACATGTTCATGGCATTAACTTTTGTAGCCTGGTCTTAGTCTTTAGTGTCTATATTTATTTTGTATATGCTTCTGTTTTGTAGATGTTCTCTGTTTTTAGTTTTGTGACTCATGTGACTTGTCTGCTTTTCTACTTCACCAAAGACAGTACTCTCTCTTTCTACTTTATATAAACCAACAACATATCTTATAATGGATGAATCATCTTTCGTGTTAATCACAATTTTCAGAAATGTCTGGACCTGGTGATTATTCGTTAAGAGAAAATGATCTACAGGTTATTCCCTCACATAATTAAGCCATGTTCTCTATCTACCTCCCACACGTCTCTGCTATGTCGTTGTTTCTGCTCCCTCCGTATTCTTCACAATGTGTAATGCCGTGGTCATTTGTTCATGCAGTTTATGGGGAAATTAGTAACGCTTGGTTTGACGGCGTGGATCGCCCCCACTGATGCGGCAGAATTGATTGGTCAGTTATATCCATAGCTCAAAATCAACTTTAAACATTGTACTTTAAAAGCAGAAGAGGAACAGACTTCTATTCTGATGTAGGAATTAGATTTATGAAAGTTAATTACTGCTGTACTTTACATCAAGTGTTTGTTTAAGTGCTCACGGCTAAATGAGAGCCAAATGTGCTGGAATCTGTGTTCAGTCAAAATAATGATGATACCAACACAATAATACGGAGAGCAGATATTTCCCTCATCTTGTTTTTTTACTCGTCTTCCTCCCTCTCTGCTTATGATCATGTTCAGTGAATTCCTAAAAGTCTGCAAATTCTCATTTGAATGGAAAACACTCAGTAGTCAGCAAACACAAGTGTGCTTGCATGCAAACGCTCAAACAGAGATATTAGCAGTCGGGCAAATACACACACACACACCTTTTATCTCATTTTCCTGACACACATAAGCACACACAAACCTTTCACTCCCCCTCACACACTGATTTGCACCCCCTCCCACACAGACACACACTATTTGATGATGTGTATCTCTCCCGCAGACACGCCCTGCAGCTGAATGTGATCGCCACCCAGCAGCTCCTCAGCCTGGCCAAGCAGATGCAGCACCTCGAGGCCTTCGTTCACATCTCCACCGCCTATGCAAACTGCAACCGCAAGCACATCGACGAGGTCATCTACCCGCCACCCGTCGAGCCCAAGAAACTCATCGACTCTCTCGAGTGAGTAGAGGAAGGGCTGGTGCCCCGAGGATGTGGAATCAATTCTATTTCAGTTTCATTCATACCCTATGGGATATGATGAACACACTGTTTCTGAAAACCATTAATATACCTAAAAGATGTTAAGTGGGGTTTCTGCCCCGCCTGAAAGCTTTTATCCACTAATTCCCCCAATTACTTATACGTGTTTTATTATTTAAAATTCAGGTTTACTTCAGTATTTTCCTGATTTCCTTATTAGGTCAGGACATTTCTGAATAAATGAAATGGCTAAACATGACCAAAGAAGATCAGAACTATGATTCTAGACATTTCATTACTCAATGCCACTCAGGTTTCCATCAGTATCATGATTGATATCCAGTCTAAGCCTTGTGAACTTAATGGAAATGACTTTATATTATAGTGAGCATAGGCCTAAATTCACTTGGAATAATGAAGCAAAAATGATTCTTTCAAAGAAAAAGAAAACACTGACTTAGATAAGGGTTCACCAGAAGGAAAAAAAAAGGTCTTGCTCTCAGGGCTTCCATGCATCTGTTTTAAACGTTAGTATCAAGAGGGCTACTGTATCAATGACTTGATTGATTGATTCATAATACCATGCTCATTTGGATTTTCCTACACACGCCTTATGCTGTAAATAATAATAATACAAAACTGGTGGAACAAGCTCCACATTGACTATCAGGATGGCAGAAAGTCTACACATCTTCCGACAAAGACCAAAAACCCACCTGTTTCGACTGCACCTTGAAAAAGAAAACCTTTTCCCGAACATAACACTTAAGATGGGTTTGTCCTAAGGGAAGCCAATGCAGTAGCACTTATTCTGGCTTATGAAAGCTAATGTACCTGCAGGGTTCCTGTTGTTTTGAGTTTGTTCCTATATGGTTGAATGCCATTATCACTTTGGATGACAGCTAAATGTAATGTGATGCAGATATCAGTCAATGATCAACATAGAATACAATAATACCACAGTATGGCACAGTGTAGAGGAACGTTCCTCTGACTCTTCTGTGTGTCTTCAGGTGGATGGATGACAGCATCGTGCGGGACATCACGCCGCGGCTCATCGGGGACCGGCCCAACACGTACACCTACACCAAAGCCCTGGCGGAGTGTGTGGTGCAGCAGGAGCAGGACAAGCTCAACATCGCCATCATCAGACCCTCCATAGTGGGGGCCAGCTGGCAGGAGCCTGTCCCTGTGAGTATTTCCGTGTCTGTGATAAAAGTTTGAGTGACTGGTTCCTTGATCCCATGCTCCTCCTGTGACAGTAAACGAATGGAAATAAGATATTGGTCGACGTTATCCTGCACAGATCAATGCTGCTCCCATGGGGGTTTTATCTTAAATGGCCAAGGATTAAAGCAAATTGGTTAATATCTTGGCTGAGGACCAGCAGGATTCAACCTCACCGGCTTCAGTCTGCTCAAACAGCTGCTGGGGGGGGGTGAGGGGGGCTGAAATGGGAGAACGGCTGACACTGAATGTCACATTGAGGGTGGGAAGTTTAGAAGTACAGAAAAGTTCATGCAAAGGCCAGAGGACTTAGAAAGTTGAACGTTGCAGCATAATTTTAAGCTGCCGGTAATGCAGGCGTCACAACATCTCTGACATCTGCATTTACAAAACTGATGTTAACACCTTTTTATGTCTGCAAAAGGTCAATAAAAAGGCAATCTGCTATTTCACCTGTAACCTTTACATTAAGCTGGGACATTTTGGTGGTTTCAGTTAAGAGTGTTTTGTGTTAAACACCCAAGGTTACTTTTTTATATCTCTAAAATATATGTTAATTCACATACTATAACTAAATACTTTGGGTATAAACAACAAGAATATACTAAGAGTATATTAAGTTCAATTTTTAATCGAAATGAAGGCCTCTTTCAAGACAACATATCTGATGTATATGCAACTTTCTACAACAAAAGAAATCAAGAATTTGTATTTCTTTGCTGGTGCTTAAGTGCAGAGGTTTAACAGCTGTGAGGAGGGGGAGGCAAAACAGGGAAAGATGCTACAATAAACATCACAAATATTAGTTGTATACCGTGAAATAATCAAAGGTACTCTGAGGGATTTCAAGATGATGCTGCAAAAATGAAAAATCCAGAAATAAGACGTGAAAGCCCTTGTTGGCACTAGTGAAATGTGTGTGTGTGTGGGTGAGTTTGTGTGTGTGTGTGTGTGTGTGTGTGTGCACTGGCACGGCAGTTCCTGGCTTAGTTTCAGTTGTAAGCCCGGCCTGGCGGGGCCTCTTTAAAGAACCTCATTCACGCTCGGCCATGCAATCGCCTTGACAGCTCCTGCCAGTAGGCGCTGTGAGGCAGGGGGGGTGGGACTATCTATTTATATTTTTGTGTTCATGTACGCTGGGTTTAAAACCACAATATGCATCGAGTTCTCTCAGTTTTCGACTCAAACATCTTCCATTTAGCCAACATGTATGATGCAAAATATCAAGTCAGAGATGTATCTGTGCATGAAGCAGATTGTAGAGCAGCTAAACACCTCTGGTCAGTTCATCTCTGCTCTTTATCTGCAGCAGAGCATATTATTAGATTTAGGACAAGCCTCGGCCCCCCCCCACACAATGCCTCTCCAGCCCCCACGTTGCTGCAGTCTGTAACCAGTGGTTTCATCCATTTTTAATGCACTCTAATTGAAGTCGACAATCACGGCGTCCCCTGTTCTCCCACAGCAGGAAGTAACATAACCCTCAACAGTGGATACAGCACACATGAACATGTACTTACCCACATGTGTGATGCTGTTAGAGCCAAATCCTTAATCCCATTATATGTTACTTTGTATCATGATTGCATGACTTGTTTCTCTGTAATTCAATAGATTATTTGAACTATAACCAACATTTGGTCCCATTTTGACCTTAACTCATTATCTCCCGCCATTAATTATGTCCTGAGCTGAGTGTCCTGATGTCCTGATTATGTATAGGCAATTGCATTCTGGGCTGATGGAGCCTAAAGGTGGGAGATGCTTGTCAGTTAGTCCAGTTAAAGGGGCCCTATTCTGCTCATTTCCAGGTTCATATTTGTATTTTCTGCCTCTACTGTGATGTGTTTCCATGCTTCAATGTTCTTAAGGGCATTGTACGTGATTGCTAAAACTTCCCAAAAAGCATTACAAAATATTGAATTATTATATCCTTGGTATTATCAATCTCCACAATATAATTAAATTGAAAGACTATAAATCATCACATTTAATTATTGCCTAGCCTTAGTTAGCTAGCATTAGTAACATAATGAATCTGACTGACAAAGCTCTGTTTCATCCCATTAACACGTTTTTCTGCTTTACACCTCAGGGTTGGATTGACAACTTCAACGGGCCGAGTGGAGTCTTTATAGCTGTAAGTAAAAAGGTTACCCTTAAATCTCAAAGCTTAAACACACAGACATGTTTTGGAGCTCTGTGACTAAGTGCTGTTCTGTAATCAGGCTGGAAAGGGGATCCTGCGCACCATGAGAGCTAACAACGACGCGGTGGCTGACCTGGTCCCCGTGGACATGGTCATCAACCTCACACTGGCTGCGGGCTGGTACACCGCTGTGCACAGGTTAGTGCACACCCAGTGCTATCATCTGACACGCTATGGGTCCTCATATTAAAGGACAGATTCACCATTTTTAGGTCCAACAGGCTTATTACTAAATTACAGGGCTGCTTTTTTAATTGCAATGTTATCAAAATCGCAATATGGACTAGTGCAATATCCCAAATATCATGCGGTGCAATATTTGCCAAAATATGTAAAAATATCTCAATTAAATATTGTGGTACTACAGAAAAGTCAGTTGGTTACATCTAGCAAACTCCAGCTAGATTAGATTAGATTAGATTAGATTAGATTAGATTAGATTAGATTAGATGTGTTGTCCCCAGGGGGAAATTGGTTTTAACAGCACTATACATGTTCACAATATACATACTGTATATAAACAAAAACAATAACCCAGACAACAACGGATAGCGACAGATAGTTATTGTTTACTATACTGCTCACATATGCATGCACATATTTATAAATAGAATAGGTAACCTGATAGCAGTCTTTAATTTGATTTAATGATGTACATAACATATATGTTGTGTTAAATGTGTGTTATATGAAAAATGGGATGTGCATACATAAAGCTTATTTATCAGAATGTGACATACTTTTTGATTATTAGTTCCATCATGGCCACAGTCAAATGACCTGGATAAAAGCGAAAATATAAAATGTACTGGTAGAAGAGTTGTGAGCATGTATTATCCTGCTGTCACTGTTCTCTACAATGGTTAGGTTTGAAAGCCATTACACCTAAAGTAACATCTTTATTAAGTTGGAAACAATCAAATTAAGTGAGAACGTTTTAAAGAAATGTAGTGGTGAGTCCAAGAGTTCAAACTGTGTAAAATCTCATACTAGCTATCTTTACTACAGCGTGTTTAAAGAGGAGCTGCAGCACCAACATATGATGAGGATGATGTTGCCTCCAGGCTACAACAGACATATTTGGAACAAAAAAAACGATTTTGGTTGATATTAATAAATGATTAGGTGGGAGGGGGGGAATATTGAAGAAGTAATCAGCTAAAGATCCTACATATTATTTAGCCAACTAGACAGAGATGGGAAAAATAATTAGAAAGTTGGTGGAAAGGAAAGAACGATTTGTCTTTTAATAGGATCAGTTTAAAGGTTTTAGGGGAATGTGGGGGAGGGTAAATAATAGCTACAATGACGCTGAAAACATCTGGATGCCTAAATTACATTCAAACAAATGTATTTCATGAAAGAAAACATATATCATAATGCATCAACATTACTGCCTGTGACGTGATTATACCAGTGTTTATGTTCCTGACAACCTGTACTTATTTTCAGAAGGAAAACAGAAAAACAGAACGATGAAAGTTAAGTATTTACTCCAAATTGGAAATGATGTGAAAAGATGAATCTAGCTTTCCCTCAGCCTACATGTTTATTCAGTATCTTTTTGGCACAGCTCTGCATGTGTTGTGTAACATACTCAAGAATTAACTGTAATTTAAGGCACCTATAAAGCAATATAGTATCATAGCTTACTACTTGTTTAGTGCAGGAAATACAGTCTAATATGTGTTTTAATGGCTTCTTTATGACCTTCCTCTCTCCCACTTTGCAGACCTAAATCAGCTCTGGTGTACAACTGCACCACCGGCGGCATCAACCCGTTCCACTGGGGACAGATTGGTACGTACAATAAGGTTGTCTTTCTTAAAGGGGACCTATCATGCAAAATGCACTTTTGTACATCTTTTATACATGAATATGTGTCCCCGGTGTTCCAGGGAACTCACCAAGTGTCAGAAAACACAACCCTCTCTCTTTTCCTCCATACCCAAATCTCTAAAAAAGGGGATGCAACGGATCTGATAAAAACTGATCCAGATTTGAACACTTTACTGACGTCAGGAAAGTGGCGCTACGGCTATTGGGCCAACTCTCCACCTATCAGGGGAATGTGGGGTTGGGCCACGGCCATTGCCGCTCGGTCAAAGGTCTTCTTTGTTATTTATTGAACTTTAAAACAAATGAATAACGACTCTATATAGGCTATAATAAAACACGGAGGACGGAGATCTCTTTTTCTCCCCCTCTTCTGACAGCCCAGCAGCTGATCAGAGCACGGCTCACCTCTCCTGCAGGGGGGCGTGGTCAGCAGAATCAGACCCGTAGACAGCAAACAGCACATAGAGCGAAATGAGGCATGGCTAAAATGCATGATCTGTTTGGTATTTTGAAAACAGAAACGTATAAATATACCTTATATAGGTATGGCCCTACAATATATCATTTAAATATAGCATGATAGGTTTCCTTTAAAGGAAGTACAGACCTGTTGCTGCAGGCGGGTATTTATAGAGCTGTTTTGTCTGAGCCTGCTGGCATCCCATAATATTGTTGTCCCATTCATCATCATCATCATCATCTCCAATCAATACTTTGTGACTTAACTGCAATGAGAAGTGGTTAAGTCGTGTAGTTTGTAGTCAGGGCTCCTGTGGAGAGGGTCTGCCCCCTGCTGGAAACACACAGAAGATGGGTCAGTGGGACATTTAAGAGGGGTTTTCCTTTCTTATATTGGCAGGTGCTCAATATATTAGCTTTTCTTGAAAGCTATGAGAAAAACTAGTTAGCAATTTCAATCAATGAGCTCAATTGTTTCCCAAAAATGTAAAAGGCATGTTTGAAAAGCAATGATTTGGCCATGAAACAATGTTTGGAACATCATATTGGTAGGAACCTGTTTTGGTTCATATCAATTTAACTTTTTTAGCTGCAACCAGTAGTGCTATATTTTTGTCAGCTGTCGGTCTACAAATCTTTCACCACCTTTTGGCAGGGACAGTTGTCGCTGAAATTTGGCCTAGAGTCAAGGTGGGTTTGTGTGAATACATGAACATGTTTTGCATGTATGTATGTTGATGCAGCAAATGCTAATTTTAGCTCTACTTTACTATTGAAATTGGCAAAATAATACTAGCTTGCATAAAAATTACATTATACTTGCATAAGAAAAGTGTCTATGACTGTAGACACATGGACTTGTTCAATATGTAATGAATACAAAAATCGTTTTATCTGACTGAATTTCCCAGACATGGATTGTTAGGACACTACATATTGCAAATACTACAATACAATTATTTTGAATCACTCAAATGATTATGAAATTAACCCAATTCATGAAAAACACAACATAAAACATATATTTAAGCACATACAACTGTGTTTCCTGTGTACAGAAAAGTAAAAACCGTGCACAGCAGATACAGTAGAATTAGAGGGCTGTGGATGTCAGGCTGGCGCGATGACAACAGACCCTCTCTTTCCCATTTCCTCTCAGATTAGCAAACATGCTCGCTCCACCGAGGAAATTGCTCCCTGATGGCTCGTAGCGGGATTGGGTCTCATCACTGCAACTCACTGTTATGAAAGAGAAAAACGTGAATTATAATCCCACCGGCCAAAATGAGAATCAGAAATGAAGCTAATCTAAAATGACGAGTGACGGATAAAGGAGGATGTAGCTCCCTGTTGCAGAGAATTGTGCGAATTTTAGCCCTTTTTGTGTGGTGACTCTCCCAGACCTTGAAGGGTGGCTGAAGGTTAGCGGCGAGGGGCCGGGCCACAGCTGGCTGTCACCTCGGATACGGTCATCTCTGCCCCTGCAACCACTACATATCTGTTGCCATGGAAACGAGCGGTGCAAGGCCTAGTTTGCGTGCCGTGTGTGATGTAATGTCTGAAGTCACATGGCTGCTTTCTGTTTCTTTTGATGGCTGCTGCTGGATTCTGGGAGGAGGTGGATGAGGGGGGGGGGGGGGATCACTGCTCGCCCTAGTTGTTGCGTCTCAAATATTACCATTACGTTCAAGCTAAAACAAAATCCATAAATATCTGGATAAAAACATATTTTAACCACTGCACAATATTATTGCAACTTTTATTTCCTAATCCAAACAAATATGGACGACAGGAATCACATGCCCCCATGCAAAACTTTCACAATGTATTATTCATGTCCGGTATTGGATTATTTGGATATTTCCTGGCCATTTGGATTGAACAAAAACTAAGAAAAAGTTGGATTTTAAAGAAATAGGTCAAAAGTATTTTTTTATGGTACAAAAGATTCCGTCTGAGACAAATACTGTATTTTTATTTGAATAATTCACCTTTTGCAGAGCACCACGTGATGTCGTCCTTCAAGAGGAACCCTCTGGAGCAGGCTTTCCGCCGGCCCAACGCCAACATCACCTCCAACTACCTGATGAACCAGTACTGGATCCTGGTCAGCCACAAGTTCCCCGCCCTCATCTACGACTTCGTGCTGCGCCTCTCTGGACAGAAGCCGCAGTAAGACTCGCCACAATCTGTCATACTTGAAATCTAAAGAGAAGTTCAAGTGTGTAGTGACATTTTACCCCTTCTCATGATTCAGGATGATGCGCATCTTCAACCGTCTGCACAAAGCCATCGGCCTGCTGGAGTACTTCAGCAGTCAGGACTGGGAGTGGAACTCGGAGAACATGAGCATGCTGATGAGCCAGCTCACCCCAGAGGACAGGAGGGTACGCTTATCCACAAACACACTGCCACTTTGAGCCAAATATGTACCTCCTGAGCTTATTGAGGAACCAGATTGCTTGATCCAGTCTGAATATGTATATTTGCTTCATCTGACGCCATCTGAAGTTGTTATTAACCTCCTCCTACCCATTGAATGCAGGTTACAACTTAGTGAAAGAGATACAGTGAAAGGAAATGAGTTACTAAACTTATATTTTACCACATTTCAGAGGGTATTATGGTACTTTAAAATGTATTACATTTCTAGTTATTTTGCAAATTAAGGTATTCAGGCAGAGCGTGAATACTTGCTATAGATAGAACTACCTAGGTGTACATAAAGTAGTTAAAACTGGCTCCACAGTGACACAATACAACATTGTGTATATCATATAGGTTAATGCCTCAGTCATAAGAATTGAATAACATAGATTTAACTAAACAGAATTCTGGGCCATTGTCCAAAAGAGAAGTTTTACTTTTTTAGTGATAATGCTAAACTTTTATTTACCTATTTTTATAGTGTGGTTTTGCTACTTTCAAGTAAATGATGTTCTTGCCCCCTATAAATAGATGTATGCATGATTTATTTAACCCTATTATGATTAAGAGAAAAAGCCATTTAGGGAATATTCCACCTGCTCTTATTTTAATGGTATTATTGGGTCTATTGCTCCATCTAGTGAGGGATAGTGGGATTTCATTTTAATGTTCAATTACAAATGACACAGTATCTTTGGTCTTGCCTTTGTCTCGGGACTTCCTAAACTTCTATTCTATCTTGCAGACATTTAACTTTGATGTGCGCCAGCTGAACTGGCCTGAGTACATCGAGAATTACTGCATCGGCACCAAGAAGTACGTCCTGAATGAAGACATGTCTGACATTCCTGCTGCCAGGCAGCATCTGAGGAAGTAAGTCAACAAGACAATGCAACAGAAATAAAACAGGACAAGAAGCCTGTTATAACAAGTGTGCCACTAACATCAGAAACAAAATAAATATAAGATCTAGACATTTTTCATCAACATTTTTCCTCTCTCTTTCCCAGACTGAGGAACATCCGCTACACCTTCAACACCCTGTTGGTGGTTTTCATCTGGAGAGTTTTTATCGCCCGCTCCCAGATGGCCAGAAACATCTGGTACTTTGTGGTCAGCCTCTGTTTCAAGTTCCTGTCTTACTTCCGCGCATCCAGCACCATAACCAAGTGAGTGTTCCTCACCTCTTCAAGGCAGAGACGGCCGCCCTGGCCTTTAGCTGTCAGCAGGATGCAACATCTGAGACTCTGACCGTCCGTCAAGGACACTCTGAATCCTCCTTTGTGTGTGGATCAGCTGGGGGCTCTCTACAGGTGGGAGGCTGCAGTCGTATGAAGCACTCTAAGGAGAGAAAAGAGGTCTACTAGCCATGAATAATTTGTCTCGTTTGGAAATCTATCATCAGTACCTGCACCGTTCACTCACCAGAATCCGTCCAAAAAAGTATTCATCTTGTTCCTACAGTTTCCTTCTCAACGTGAACGCCAATTATATATGCAACAATAAGCCTTGTGTGTGCCGTCCATTTTCTTTTCCATATCGTTGTTTCCATCCACTTGAATCTAGCTTCATTGCCTTGCCTTATTATTATTTGTTCATACTTGAAATATGGCAGAGCTTCACTGGATTTCTCTAAGATTTGTTTGGTTCTCTGCAGTTTAACTGTGGGGAAATCCAATTCCTCTCTTTACTACGCAAGTGATTTTGATCTCTATCTTACATTATGTGTATCTACTGCCTTTCTAAGATTACACCTTAAAAACTAACTGGTTATCTATCTCAAGTCTCTAAACTGAGACTAGTATTACATCTAAATTCCGACTCTACAGTTCAAGACAACAGTATCATTAAATAAACCAAAAAATATATATCTGACTCCATTATTTACTATCACGAAGAGAATGTTCATATGTCTTTGAACATAAACCATGTTTGTTTGAATGCTCAGCAGTTTGTACTGAAACTAAGTTTACTACTTTTACATCTTTATACTTGAGTCAAAGGCTAGTCTGATTATGTGGTAGACCTTGGCAGTGTAATATATATAAATAAGAGTACATCAGAGTTGAGTTTATTTGTTTGGCTCTGTACAGGTAGAAAAACATTTATATGTAGTTATAGTAGTTGGAAATTCCAAATAAAATTATGAAAGACATAATGATGATATAGAAGAACCAAAATTAAGAAGTCCAAGGAATGGGTCCAGTACAATATCAGTGATTTACGTGTCCGAGATTGTGGGTTAGAGGATCAAGCTTAGCATATTTGATAAAAATGGAGACCTAACCCCAAGTTGTGCCGCCTGTAAATTAGCTTTACATTTGAGTCACAGCGTTTATTTCTCTTTCAACTAATTACAGAGCTGTTGAAAAACTGGGTTTTATTAAAAAAAACATTGCAGGGTATTTATTTATTAGAGAAATGTCCTGATCTGTGATGCTTTTACATGAGGCACAAGCTGGAGTTGTACCTTAGGTAACAGCCAAACAAAATGTATATGCAATGTTAAGATAAAGAAACTTTTGACTGAAGATTTGTTTTAGTTCTTGAGGCAGGCCTCTTGTTACTGAAAAGGTAATTAGGTCTGTTAAATATATCAAAGAAAGATCGTACTTTTAGAAAACTGCTGCTTTAAACACCTACTGCGGCAACTTTATTTGTGTAAGAAAAGCAAGATATGTTCTGCTTTTGACAGCTAGTGAACAGGACAGAGAATGGAAGCATTATTACGAGTTCTTGCAATACAGAGTTAAGTGTCTGTGCTGAATATTCTGCCTAACAGAAGAAGTGAAAAGTAGTGGACTAAATATGGAGCCTTGAGGTACGCCATACCTACCCTGATGTGGACTACTATTTTAAGCAAGACAAATTGTGACCTATTTGTTAGTCTGGACCTAAATCACAAAAGTGCTAGGTTATAAACAAAGGATTTAAAATCCCTCATGGTGTTGAATCAATGACCCAAGTTTGGAAGACCTGTAAATAGTTGAAGCTCATTTTATTCTTTTAAACTTCCAAACATTTTATTTGACTGTTGATCTTTGCTTGGTGAGAGTCTTCACAGGATTCCACCACAGAGCTTCCTACAGAGTCTACCAAAAGTGTTAAATGTGACAGGCAAGACGATTTTGACTAAACATGAGAAAACTGTGTTGTTTTGTATGTGGCTTGACTCTTGACCGAATACAAATGCAGTTACGAGCCTAAATGGGGGGAAAAGGGACACAACTTAATAAATGTTTATGCAAAGCCCATGTCTGTGGTGTATTCATGGAAACTGTACTCTGAAATGTAGACCGAGATAATCACCCAGAATGTCTGCAGTCATTTCAGTGGTATCATAACAGTTCTTACAATGTTGTTTTAAGGGTTGTGTTACTCGCCTGTATGTGTGTTTTACAAAACAAAGTGCTGACTTTGCAAATGCAGAGCTCTTTAAAACTGTATGGAGCAAACAACAGAAATACATAACTAAATTGTTAACTGCATGCTGATGTCATTTGAAAAATGTTTGATCACCTTTATTCTGAAATGACTTTAACACAAGACTTAAATGTTTTTCACAAAACAACGCTTAGGGACCAAACCTCATTCTTTTGTAAATATGTGAACTTTAATGGACTGAATGGCAGCCAAACAATCAGCATATATGATATTACAACACATGGACAGAAAGTCTACAACTTTTCTAAACAAACCCATCACAGGAAAGGAAGGTAATCGTGTTTTTAAAAGAAACACAAGTATGACTCATGCATTCACGGGAAACACATTTTCCTAAAGTGCAATGATCTTATGTAAACTTTACCATTTGTCAGTCAACAGCACAGATCATTTAGACTGTTTTGTAGAAAACACAATTATATAACATTGATGACGTTATTTAACAATGGCCAAAAGCCTGCTCACAGAGAAACGGTTACTCCTGGGGGACTGCTTCAGCCAACAAAGGAGTCTGGTGATTGTTAAGATTGTTCATCTCGTTGTGTAGCTGCACCTCCTAGAATACGTTTCAGTACAGGTAAGTCTATCAGTAATGAAGATAGCCTGTTTATGTGGCAACATGTATTTTGTATTAAAGACTCACCTCTCTTCTGTAGACTCCAAGTTTGAGGCGACAGCAAATAACGTCAAAAAAGAGGCCAACAAGCCCATGAAGCATGCCTTTAGGAGAGGGGAACACACAACGATAAATAGATCGATTCAGACACGTTTTAGGTCAACAAGATTCTAAATTATTTTCTATATGCAGCTGTTTTACTTTTAATTGAAAAGCTCCAGGATGATGTCCCATATATATGACTCATATTGCAGGCCTTCCTCCTAGGTGACATTGTTGCTCTACATAAGCTTTAAGAGGCTTATGATTTATATGAGAAAAAAGTGTCTTGCAGGATGTTTCTAAAATATGTTTTTATCATCTGAAAACAGGAAAAAAAGGTTTTGGAAGTTGAAGATCTTAGTTTTGATCAGGATCATGTTGACATGACTGTAATAAAACATACATTTTCTAACTGATAATATATGTACTTGTGTTAAAAATGCTTGGAGAAATGTAAACCCACCTGAAAGAAAATATGAATGCTGTTAGTCCTCTTTATCACATGTGGTTTACTTCAGCCTCTTGTGGCTTAAATTAGTATTACAATAACAAACTAAATGACCCTGACATATAGAACCCTGTTTTCATAGATTTATTAAAAAAATAAAAGGTAATTCAGAAAAATAATTCTTTGCAAAACCTTTTTTCACTCGCGCTTAAGTCATAAAAACAGGAGAAATGGATGACAAGATGATAAATAAATGTGATTGCCGGTAAACAGACTTGCCCGTGGTGGAGAAAATACCCCCGATTATGCCGCACAGACGCACCAGGAACTGCCAGAGAGGCATGTGCTGCTCGCTGACCGTCACCATCAGAGAGCTGGTGTCGTACTTGATGAAGATGCCGGAGACACCGTGACTGCCCGCTGCGTGGTTTATCACCCGCTCCTTGGAAACAGATGGCATGATGGTTAGTGGTATCCTAAGTTTCCCTTCGTTTCTTCATCCTCTGTTCAATATGCTTCTTTGGAATGGGCTTTAAGGACTCTTCACCCACCCGCTCAGTCACAGAGAACTGGTGTGTGTCTGCAGATATCTTGTATGTGTTCAGTCTGGTTGGAACCACTGTGAGGAAATACTGGAACATCTGGTTATCTGCAGGAAACACGCCACCAGGAATAATGCATGAAAAGACCTCAATATTTAATATTTTTCTATCAATTTCAAGAGGTAAAAAAAGGTTAATTAAAGTTAAAGAGACTCATAATGAAACTTAATTATCTGATCAAAGTGCTTACAATAAAGGCAACCTCTTTCCAATCATCTCTACTAAGCAGTGATCCACCGAGGTGAGCAAAGGACCATTTGAGTTAACTCATGATCAGATAAATGTCTCAACGTGTCATTAATTTAGCAGGAAACGCCATCAAATGTTTTATCCTTTCCTACCTCTTGGTACATAACAGTAACTTACGGTTATAGGTGATTTTCTCTGTGCCGTCCAGAGGATTGATGATGCCCGGTATCTCCTCCCCGAAAGATAAATGGTCAATCCGATGGGAGAAGTTGTACGCTGTAATGCAAAGACGAGAGGAAGCTCAGGTTCAATCAAGGTGAGAATCACAAAGAAAGCTCCATTTGAACCTGGAAATAATGTACTCTGCATTGGATATAGTTGCTGTTTGTCTACAAATCGTTCAATACAATTCTGAATAATAATAACATCTAAAAATGCACCATTTATTAGTATCAATGAAGGTAAAATTTGCTTGCATATTCTTTAAAATGAAATGCCCTGTGTGTCATCTCTACTTTCAAATGTAGTTTGCACCAAGAGTAGATTACTAAAACAATTGTACTGTAAAGAAAATGTAAAGAAAACATATGCAAGCATAATTAGAAACAGTTACTCACTATCATGGCTGACAAAAGCGGCAATGTGGGCATGACCCTGTGGATGGTGAATGGGCCTGAAAAACACAAATTAGTATTAAAGGTCAAGTGTCAACAAAAGCTTTATAATATAGCATAATATCTATGCCTGTTTTTCATAGCCCAGCAAATTCTACAGCTGGATCATGGTAAGAAACTAATTAACGTTCTCTAGTTTCTTACTTTCCGACAGTTACGTGTAGGTTTCCTGCCACCTTGTTGACGTAGACATGCCCGTGTACCCTGCAAGCATTCAGTGGCTCTATAGAGGCATACTCCCTGTAGCAAAAACACACAATTATTCAGAACATAATTTGACACTTAAACGCACCAGATGACGTTGTGATGTAGTGTGGGGTCATGGGAGTTTGGAGCAAAAGGGACCAATGTAATGTATGTCCCTAGGTCTAAGAATTGTTAAACACTGTTAGAATACCTTTAATTGCTTATCAGCAACATACCTAACAGGCTGCACAATATTTGCATATAGTATAAAACAAAAAAGAGCTTGTTTGCATGTGACTGACCGGGGGGGCAGGGCAGTGGGACCGCCTTTGAGGAGGCTTTTGTAAAGGACTTCCTGAAGAGCATGTTCCTCTCTCAGCCTGTTTTGTATGAGAAGCAACGTCCTGAGAACAAACACAAGAGTGGCAACGTGTACACTGTCAGACTGAAAACTCAAACTACACTTAAACTAGATCTGAACTGTAGATAACTATTCCAGTTTTTCCAGAAAGCTTTAAAAACATGTTCTTCTCTCTTTTTCAGTATGCATGCAAATGTATCACCTTAAATACACGTTTAAAATAACTGAAAATGAAATCAATGTATTGTTTTCAGACACAACAAGACTTTTATAACACTTCCTGTTCTCCCAGTATTTCCCTGTCTGATGTCATGACAGCTTACCTTTGCCACCTTCTCTGTTGTGGAGTCAGATCAAAAATAACCTGAAGAAACACAAAGAATACACTTTGGAAAAGCCAAATCTTAATAATGCTTCTGCAAAAAGAACAAACACAGAATTAAACTTGCCCTCATGTTTGGAGACATGCTTCACTCACAGGCTCGTACTGGAGGCCGTTGGATGTGATCATGGTCTCAGCCAGGTCCAGAATATCTGCTCCAACATCTGCAATCACGGTCATCAAATGCATGCATGACGTGACATATTTTCACCATTTATGATAAAGAGGATGGGATACTCACGCTGGCATTTCATGGCAGCTGTGATGTCGATGTTTATTCTCAATTTACTGCGAATGATGAAAAAGAAGAGGGGGAATAATATTTGTCATGTACTGTTTAGCATGTTTGTTTGGGGACTTTTTCATGTGATCATTCAACAGCTCTGGAAGTAAGCTTACCTGGAATAATCCTTATCAACTTCATATTCATACTTCATCCAACTGTCTCTATAAACAAAGAACTCGAAGAAAGCCAGAAGAGCCATGGCACCGAAAGCAATCAGCGACACTGTGGGTGAGACGAAGAGGGTTACTGTTAATAATGTCTGTATGGTGTTGTTGTCTTTCTGTTTTCAGAGGAGTGTCCACCTGTTCCTCCAGAGGCTGAGGTCTCCACGTAGCTTTCTGACACCTTTGGGAAGGCGTCCAGCTCTCTCACCAGGGTCAGGGCTTTCCTCCGAGACAGACGCCTCATCTTCAGGTTCAGGGATGCTCTCCACCTCCTGCATCATAACATCAGTGTTACATTCAGGAGCTCTGTCTGCAACCTCTAGCTTTATAAAGGTTTAAATGATGATACAATTAACATGTTATTAAGTCATGCAAATTCAACCATGTATGTTCTTTCTACATTTGAATTGTTCGGTAACACCAATGCTTGTTACAGATGAAGACATTGAAACACACTGTTCTTTAGTAGCCATTCTGATTTATTATTAAACAATGTTTAAAATGTCCCATACAGAACGTACTAATACACTTTACATCTGTATATAAGCACTGTAATACTAAAGCAAAAAGATACAAATGAATACAAATATTAGGTTTCTTTACAGTCAATATTCAGATCCATATGCTGCAAAACAGTATTAACAGTAGAGATGTTTCATGTCAATATATTACCCTCACAATAAAGCAGAACAGCCTTCACAATAACATTCATTTATAATAACTCTTACCTCTTTAATCATCTACTCAGAGGTTAAATCGCACCACAGGATCCCTGGAAGCCATTATCATTCAGTTATATTCGGCTGTATGAGTGATCTCTGACTAATATTACATCCACGGTCTGCGCTCACGCGGACAGGTGGGCGGACCTGCGTCTTCCTTGTTTGGGTAAATATGACGTCGGTGAGTGCGAAGCGTGCGCGCCCCGTGCACCGTGAACGCGCAGGTAGCAATGTCGCCGTTCTAACACGAGGTGTCGCTTTGATACTGAAACCTGAAACCGATGCCCTTTTTTGTAGAACTATGTGAAGTAGTTTGTTAATATAAACTGTTAAAATGAAATACAATTACCTATCTTGTAATATACTATAATTTAACACAATATGATACAATATAGTATACCATATTTTTGGATTGCTAATACTCTTGCAGAGGTGGGAGAAGTACTCGCTTGAGTACAAGACTGTAGGAATACTCTGTTACAATAAAAGTCCTGCATTCAAAATGTTACTGAAGTAAAAGTACAAAGTATTGGCATCAAAATATACCAAAAGTAAAAGTTCTGCAGATTGGCCCATTTCAGAATAATATATATATATTATATGTTTTGATTATAATTATTGATGGATTAAGGTGTTATCAAAGCTGGAAAAGGTGCAGCTAATAGTAAAGTACAAGTACCTAAAAATTGTACTTCAGTACAGTACTTGAGTAAATATACTGATTTACTTTACACCACATACTCTAGTACTTTTTCTTCTGAATACTTCTTTCACCAGTGCATTTAGCACAGACTCAATATCAAAATACTTTTGAGGATTGGTTAACTTTGCATTATTTTGCATTGTCTTTAATGCATAGTTATTGTTTTCTCACTTTTCACTCTCTATATCTTAATTTGTCTACTCGCTGATATTTAGAGCATATGTTAAAATGGTTGTGTGTAAAGCAATGGTTTTATATCACTTATGCTTTTGGACTATTTGCAAATACAACAACAGTTGATGTAATGCAGTATTTTTTTTGGTAAGCACACCAGCTTTGAAACTACCTGAATAGTCAGTGAATAAAGTCAGACAAGAGGAGTGTTTGTTTTAGATATGTGGATTTATCTTTGTTTGCAGAGAAACCCAAAGCCAACACAGCAGACTTTTGTTATGACTTCCAGCCTAGTTTACATATTTTAACATGGAATGAATTGAACTTTTTAAACTGTAGTGTAATGTGTATTTGACTTTGTCCTGTAGAAACAGACAGTACATTTTTGGAACTTTATCAGATAAATTAATCAAGTAGTGTAATGACATATGACTGGTAGTAAAGCACTGATAATGTTTTTAGGTGAAATAAACTGGCCAGTTTACAGTTAGTAATCACATTATGTCTATGGCCATTCATCTGCAGTGACACTAACAACATCTGTCCTCCACTTATAAAGGATAATTGACTTCCAGGAGAAGTATTTACAGGCGTATGTTGGAACTGCACACCAGAAATGAAGTTGCTGCTCACACTGACAAGAGAAACCCTTGTGAAGACAAGATAATGTTTGACTACGACAAACTGGTTCAGCATGCTATTATCACCATGAGGACAAAGGACATGTTTATGCCTCGCTGCAGGCTGAGGATGCATCAAAGAAACAACTCAGATGTGCAGATGAACTGTGTGAATCACATGTGTGTATTGTGCAGTGAGTGTCTGCATGCACCAGGCCTGCTTGTCTATGCAGAGCAGCACAGATGGGCGTGTTGGGGGATGGGTGCTGTCAGCTCACAGATCAAGCTGTGGGTCGGTGGTCCCATTGCTATTCAGCACACAAGAACGTAGGGCATGTCAGACACGCTCCATGGAGACATACCAGGGGTGGATATTGTGTTTTGGTTATGCTATTTGGCAGTGTATTGGTTAAGAATGTTCACATATATTTTTTTTCGCTTTTTTTAAGATAGGTATGAAAATGATAACTCTGCCACTTAGCAAATATTCTGCTGATATAGCAGTTTTGGATTGTTAAAAAAAATTATGATTTATTTCCCTTAACATCACATCACCTGCATGATAAGTCAGTGCTGATGCAGCACACTTTGCCAACAACATATAAGGTTTTTGTTTCCTTAAAATGTTGGCATTGCTTTTATGGCTCAATTAATACTTTACAAACATATACCTTTAAATGAATGTGCCTCAATGCAAGTTCATATATGTCTATTATCAGCAACAATTTAAGATAACAAGTTTTGTAGGGTCCTCAAGGGTTGTAATGGTTAAATAAATACATCCACTGATTCTCAATGTATTTTTAAGTATACATTTTAAATCACATATTTCTCATTGAAATAATGATACACTATGTGGGCTTATAACATATATAATTTACCCACTAAGGCCTATGAGGCTCACCATTTTCCTTCTGAAAATCCTGAGATTTTGCTGAACATAAGTCTCTGATTGTAAAAGTGACAACATGGTCAAAACAGTACCATTATGTCATTCCTTTGTTGGAAAAAGTGTGTGTCTATTGTTGGCGTGTGTCTACACACAACCAGATGAAAAAGAATAATTTGGAAAGTGACGTCAGAGGTGGGATTGCCTAGGAGGAGGTCGTGTCCGTTCGGCTCTATTCGGGTGTTTCCGGACGCTGGGTTAAATCCCCGCCCCACTTCATTCCTGCGTTGTTTGGGGACAGAAGGAAGATGGCGGCGGCCCCGCTGTACTGTGTCTGCCGGCAGCCCTACGATGTAAGACGGTTTATGATCGAGTGTGACATCTGTAAAGACTGGTTTCACGGCAGGTATGTAGGATACAGTGTATTTGATATGTGTGGCTCATTGGAAGTGATATACACTGATTGTTTATTGAAGAAGGGCGACGGTTCTCTGAGCGGTGTTGACTGGAAGCTAACTTAGCTGCTAATGCTAGCGGTGGGCGACGGGGGTTTTAAACCGTCTATTGACACGACTTTACCAAAGAAACTGGGGTTTCGCTCTCTGAAATTGGCTTGAATTCAGTCAAATGTTCTGCCAATTATTACCCATTCAAACAGTGTGTACGTAGTTTATGTAAGTATGTTGATAGTTAGTATTATTGACTAAAATAAAGCCTTTATAAAACAGTTGTTATCTGCCTATATGCGACTCATGAGGATTGCAGATCTGTGTCAGTCAAAGCTTCGCGGGGTCACCGTGGCTTAGAAAGGGTTGCCTGCTCCTTTGAGTCACTTCAGAGATACATTTATTATTGTTCAAACTGTGATTTACGGATTAAGACATCGTTAAACCAGTCGCTGTGTACCACATCGCATAGCCTACTGGCTAAACGTACTCAATATATTGACAACCATAGACAGTATTTGACTTTAAGCTACATTTCATAATCAACTTCCATTTGTTTGGACACAATCTGTATGTTGTTGTTAAACCTGATGTTTTATCATTCAATTTTATACTTACTCTATTTAAGCTGTATATAACATTAAGCTTTTTGTATTTTGATGTGTTTTGGGTGGTTTTATTTAATGAAAAGCGAAAGATAGAGAACAAGGAGCTTGTTATGGTCGTGCTTTTGATTGACAGCTTGAGACATTTAAATCCCCCTTTCAGGCAGAGCAGGCACATGGCAGGGACCCCTAGTGGTGACCAGGGGTATTATTTAAATGTACCCGCCAGACACATGTCTTTGGATTGCTTATGGCCGGTTTGTACCCTATATTTTCGTTATTAAATGCCCCCACATCTCTACAAGTTACAATTGGACCAGTAGTATTATAGTTGCCTTTCATGATTCATGTTGCGTGTGGGTGGGTGGGTGTTGGCTGTCATATGGGAAGGTTTTTCTGTTGTGCAATAAAGCATTTTTTTTGGCACAATACAATGTCCTTTTAAGTAGTGTGTGCTCTAATAGTCCAGACCTTAAACTTTGAGTAAGACTACACTGTTAAAGGGTGTCAAAGTAACCCAGTTAGTTTTACTTTTAATTGAATTACCTGGTTTAACCCCTTTATGAAGCACTATAAAGCCTGCTGGTGTGTCTGTTAGCAAGGCAGGCAATTTGTGTAGCTCACAGTCTGCTCTAATCATTAGAGAAGGCAGATAATAAGATTTTGCCATAGAAGAACATGTATCAAACTTGTTGTCTGATTACATGTTGGTTTTTAGAGTCAGGTAATCAGAAAGACCTGACTTTAAAACAGTTTTAATGGGGTTTGCTGACTTAGACATAACTTAGACCATCCCCATTCTCAGTCCCTTGAATCAGCCTGTGTGGGTGCATCTCCATGGAAACTGCTTATGAATACAATAATCTGTTTTTGCTCGTGTTGAAATGACGGAAGCCATTGCGTAACCACATTGAGCCCACTGCCAGAAAACTTGCCGGCCAGAATTTGCGGTGTATCAGAGCCAAAAAAGACTGGCTGGCTGCGTGTCATGTGCCAGCAAGCAAAGGAACAAATGCTGGAGCTTCCCCCATTGGTGACTAATAAGCACATAGACACACACACATCGAGCGGATCTCCAAAACCAGCCACATTTCCTGCCTCTTTCCCACGAGGCTGGCCAGAAGGAAAAGGGATATTCTCTGGCTGTGGATGATGGCACGCCGATGAAGTGGAGAGGAGCTCAACCTCCCGGTGTCTGTTTGTCAGTTTGCAAGCTGAGTTTGTGTTTGTGGGGGACTTTGTCTCACTGCCTGTGTTTCTGGAGAGTGTCCTGTTTTCCACCTCAACCTCAGGACACAATACAGCCTGGTCCTTTAACCGGTTGGGCAGTGTTATCACAACACTGTGGAGTTTATCTGTGTCGGAGTAGTGATCAGTGCGGTGAACTGGAAAGCAGTATTTGCCAATATTGAGGGTTGATCACTCCCCAACATTTAAAAAAGCTGTATATCTAACTTAGGGCCCCATTATATGAAAAATATTTGCTGTACGGTTGCTGAATAATCTTTCTGTTTATCGTCCAATTATTAGAAGCAATAAAACTAGCCACTATTTCAAAAATAAAATGATATAAGATATCAAAAATAAACCTACGGTGTAAAGGGAATATTTTGTGGGTTTTTCTTTTATCCTCACATCTTTTTGCTGCCCACATTTGCTTTGGTAGCACTTCCCTGGAGGACTCCTTTA